GTTTTTTCCATCTCTGCTTTTATCTGAGGAATTGTGAGCTGCAAAAAGCACAACGAGGAGGAGCTATCTTATATTGATATAAAAATTATGCATACAATATTAACCTCTGATGAGAGCAGAAGGGAGAAAGGATAAAGGAAGAGACGATGGAGGAGATAGCAAAAGAAATGAAATTAATATGGAGGACAAACCTCTTCTTTAGGATCAACCGCCTGCAGACGTGAACGAAGGGCTGTTTTTACGGAGGGAGGCAATCCATTATATAATCCATCCCTCATGTTAGGAGGAAGAGAGGTAGGGCGTGAGGCCTGACATGATATCAATTCCCGTTGTTAAGGATAATGTTGGAGCAGTCTTAAACAGTGCATTTAGTAGTGCTCTAATTCAGCAATAAAACTTACAATGTTATCGATTTGAGTAACTAAGTTAGCATAGTGTAAAGCGAGACCAGCTGCTCCCAGTCTTTCTTGTTTTTTGGCAGGCTCCTTGCCAGCAGACGTCAATCCTGCAAGAAGCGTAAACATTTATCTACATCTACAAAGAAACAATACTACTCTGAGAAAGAAGAGACAATCGCGTACATATTAATTTTCTCAAGACTTGGTAGTTCTTAGCTTTGAGTAATTGATTTTTAAGTACTTCCGAAAATCAGTCAAACAATTTTAAGAATAGCAACCAGTCATTCAATGGACATATCCGTCAATCAAATAATTGAAATCTTACAGTGTAACTTGATTGTCCTGTTTGTTTCTCTCCCCTTTCATTATACTTTTCTCAAGCCAGTATATGACTTAAGATGTTCTCTATAACCATTATCAATGAGAAATAGTTCACTAAGATACAACGTAAAATGTAAAAGCTATCTGAGCGAAAGAATGAGAGTGGCTGGTGCAATTTAGTGTTGTGGAGCGCCAAATGCCAATGGCCATTTATCAACACCAACGAAAATAATCTATCATTACTCTCATAACTTTATTATCTGAAAATAATAGAATGCTGATAATGACAGCCATCAAATATGTACTGATCAATAAAACCACAGGTATTCTCGTACCATTATCCCCAAATGCTTCCACAATTGCTTGATGTATATAAGTAACAATGTCAACAAGCTTCTCCACAACCTGCAACAATTAAATTTGGGATCAAAAACTGCTCATCTCTAAAGATAAAAACAGCATTCTTAGAAGACAAAAGACAATTGTCATTTCGATCGTTAAATCACAGGTAACGCTTGTCGCCTGCATGAGCTTAACCAATATCCACAGTAAATTTGAAAAATACCTCTTTTATAATGAGTCTTAATATTTTGATTTTTTCAAAAGTGAATAAAATCTAGATAAGTTAAAAATGCATTCTTTAGAAATGATATTAAGACGATTTTTGGTCAAAGTACCTCCTCCAAACTCTTAGTCCAAAGAGATTTCTTCTTCAAGCTCCTCGCAATTTTTCTTTGATGTTTTAACTCACACTGTAACATCATGAGGCCTTCTCCTGCAAGTGAAGGAAAATTAGTCAATTTGTATGTTAATCCATCAAATTTTCAATGAAGATGAGCAAATAAGAAGCCAGGAAATCTACAGAACAACCAAATATCAAAACGTAATTTTCCTTTCTTATAAGGAAGCAAAAGATCTTATTGATGTATAAAAGCACTGTTGATGGGGCTTGAGTTAGTACAATGCAGTTAGATACAAGAGTCAATTTCTTTAAATACTGTGCGAGGAACAGAGTTAGTCTATAAGAGAGCTGAATAAACAGTTAAAATTTTAGTTTTTATTTTATCTTTTGATTAAATACTTGGTCAAATGCAAACCAGTAAACTGCAAAAGATGATTATATTGATGCAATTTTTGGAAGAATCCCCAGGACAATAGATTGCAACAAATGAGAATTCAGAGAGAACTAAAAAAAGTAAAACTGTCATGCCTTTTCGAGGTAGATTTAAAGAATCTAATTCCTCAAGTTTCCTGCGATAATCCTGCTCAAATCTATCCAGTGCCTGCTGCTCATGATACAATTCCTGTAAAGACATTAGTGGTCAGAGTCTCATCACTGACTTTGGAATATGCAACATAGATGTGAACCATATCTTTTTAGCGAAAAGATCAACTAAGAATAAAAAAACCGGATGTAGAAAAAAAAAATCAAAATTCATAGCATTCTTAATATAATTTTGTCTTTTACAAAATACACACTATAACCATCATTCATCAGAAAAACATCCTTGCTAGTAAATGCAAATATTGGCAAATCTCATGCTTTAGGCCAAGTACAATATCAAGGAACCCTTTTTCAACAAAAAAAAAATAGTACAATATCAAGGAACTATAACACCGTCAGAAAGCAAATATACAAGCTTCAATATTGTCCCAAGATTGTTGTTCAAGATGATTTCAATACTCAGATTATACAACATTAGTGGTATAAGACACTTCTGCACTTATGAAGGGGTTGAATATCAGGTTACATGGGCATCAGAGAACAAACACACAAACATAAATAAGCATATATATATTGTACTAAATAGGTTATTCAACTAAGCAACATAGCTGGTAATCTGGCACCACTGCCAATTGAAAAGCTACCCATGAGAACTCCTGACTCTGTTTCAGTTTTTGTGAACCTTTTCGGAGTACGAGGATCAAACTGACTAATTTTTGGTATGTATTTAGACATAGAAAATCTTGTTTGACTCTCCAACAGTAGCAGGTTCACATAAATTGAAATGGAGGGAGTATGTATTCAGATTATTACAGCTCATGTAATTAAGAAGGATATAAAAGAAGTATAAAGAACAAAAGGTAGAGATCACTCATACTGCAGAACACATGTAACATGTTCAGAAACGGAAACTTGGAGAAAGGCACAAGGCATTTTCAAAACGAGGTATGAACTTACAGAAGTATGCTGAGCCAGAATGGTCAATTCCTGCATCATCAATTCGGCCTCTGCTCTTAGTTGTTTATGAGCACCAGAGTCCAAGTCCAATCTGAGAAGTGGTTATAGCTTCTGATAAACATCTTTAATGAAATCAAAATGGTTTGACTCATCTACAACAAAATCGTGCTAACTTACCTGGAAAAATATCGACCTAACTTGTGCCATTGTTGGTCTTTACACATATCTCCAAACCTAATGACTTCGCGCGAGAAAACGTCAAATTCCTCCCTACATAAAACATATAAATTTATTCTCACCTATGCTTATACTGCTTACAGCATTACACCCACAACTTTTCAATTCTGAAAAACACCTCCAAAATGAAGTTAGACTTAAAGAATAATGTCCCACCAATAGACCTTAATTATACATAGTTCCGTTGTTGTATTTTGAGGCATCTTGAACTTTCAAAACTTAGGTAAAAATAATGTTAGGAATATATCCTCCATTATGTTACTGTTATCGGTTAGAGAAATATCAGTACAAAGTATCTTAGTAATTAGGTAATGTCGGAGGGATTTATCAACGATAGCATGAAAATATCATACATGCCTCTGTATCTCAAGTTTCACTTCACTTTAATTTTAGTATGTGTGGGGTAGCGAGTGAATGTTCAAAATGCTAACCTTTTGTCAGCAGCAGCAATAGCAAGCAGCTCGGTCATATTAGTAGAGACCAACTGTTGCACTCCCTTTGAAGGTAGAATTTCCTTCTTTAAATACTGAACATTTTCTTTGGAAAGAGATTGCAATAAATTTGCACCTTTGGTGATGGTATTCGCTACCTCGAATGCTAGAATAGATACTTTATTCCCACTTGACGCCGTTCCTGTCATAAACCCTCCGGAATTCAAGTTTGTCATGCTGCTCCCAAGTGTATCTAATACTTCTACTGCTTTCTCTAGACCGACTATACTTGCCTTTCCAAGAAAAGAGCTAGCCGCCTATCACAAGAAATAATCATGGCTTGTTACCTCATAGCAATGCAGTATAAATATTCTAGATTTACTTAAAATGTAAATAAATAAAAGGAAACTGAAAGTTGCTCAAACATAGCGATGACTTTTTCACTTAAGTCATCTTAATTACTTCACTTCAATTTTTGTTGGTTCGACAAGTTTATCAAATTCTTAACCATTTATCTACTCATTACATGTTTCAGACAGGTTTAGCCTCATCTTAATTGTTCTCAAGTGCACCTCACATTTAAACCAGCAAATCTAGAACAATTCAATATCAAACTTCAAAAAAAAATCAATATCAAGCTTAGGCAAACATGGCATAACTAAGTTGTCTTATGCACAATTTTGGCACAATCTGATCCAGAATGTGCTGCTGTGCAATTATCTCCAATGCCATGGAACCATCTCAAAATCTAGCAGAAGAGGCGATAATTGCCCAATAAATCATGTGGAAATACTCAAGCTTCCAAATTGCTGGTTTTGTAGTGATTGCAGCAGAATGTTTCGACGAGCAAAGAACACCCATCTCATCACAATGCTTTGAAACTAAAGAATACACAAGTCGGTTTTACCACATAAACTCGAAGTTAGTAAGTGTATAATCTATGTATGAATATCTACTCGATGCCCTTGTCCTTGAACATATTGAGGGAATTGGTTAGAGGACGTCGAACCGATTTCACTAGCCTAAGGCAAGCCAGCTCTAGAGCAAGAACGTCAAAGACAAGTCACATTCTATATTTTCAGCAGGACTCGCGTCTTGGTCCTCATACTGCCAAATAGAAACATCAACTCCAACATCACCTTATTTCTACACATGTTCTAATTCATCTAATCAATTCTTTCATTTCATCCTAATTCCACCAGCTTCTGGAAAACCTTTTCATGTCGAAATTACAAAACACAGAAGTTCCGTTTCAAATTAATCTAACTAAGACTTCCTTACAATTTTTTCCCCTTTTTTGAACAAGTTCCTTCCCTCAATTTTCATTTGATCACTTGAATCAAAAGTACTGCCGTGAATAACACATATAATAAACGACGAGATCGGCTTTGCTACATGAACCCTAAGCAAGCATCCAAATACACAGACAAAGACAAAATTTCCAGAAAAATGAGTACCTTGTTCCCTCCAGTTCTAGCAGGTGTAGATGGCTTAAAGTCCCTGAAATTAGACAAGTACAATTCACCAGAATCATAGAGATTAGGCGTCCCACGGAAATTACTCACATCAGGATATGAAAAGGATTCATCTTTATTCTCCTTTCCAAAACTCCTGACTGGTTTTAGCTTTTTTGAAGAACCTGAGGTGCTCTCAATCTCATGGTGAATTTCAGCTCTATTCTTTGCCGTCCCACCTGCACAAACACCTCCCATTTTTTGCTCCCAAAATTTCAAATGGGAATTAAAGATTCAAACTTTCAACCTACCACAAGCAAACAAATAAAAAATATAATCAGAACAAATACAATAAAGACTGAAATCCATCCATCAAAGATTCAATTTTTATGCTAAAACTATACAAGAATAACATAAAGATAACTGAAAAGTGAAAACTAACAACCAAACTAAAATTCATTCAATTTTCACTAATTTCAACGCTAAAAAACAAAAACAAAAAAAATAAAAAAGGGTAATCAGTTTTCATTTCCTAAGAGTTGCAGCCAAAAAAAAAACATACCAAATAACGATCAGCTGAATTATGAACAAGAAAACTAAATTCAGAAGGGGAAAAAGAGCAGAATATGTAAAGGGGGTGAAGTGGGGTTTTGGATTTTCAAGATTCATAAATGAAAAAGCAAGAAAAAGATTAATAAAAAGGTATAATACCGCGTAATTCTTGAGCAAAATTAATGAAAATGAATATAGAAGAGTAGTACAAAGTGCCCAATTTTGAAGCAAAAGAAGATACAGAGGACACGGACAAATTAACAGCTGAATTACTTGACCAAAGAATAAGAGATTTGCTGTTCTTTGCTTACTTTTTTGCTTCTACTTTTTTTGTTTGTAGTATGTATATGTTTATGGTTTAGAATTTGAGGTTTTGGTTTTGACTCTGGACTCTGGAGAAAAAAAAAATAAAGTCGAAAAAATCAAAGTTGGGCATAAAAGTCTTCTCTCTGAAATGTTTAGTACGTAGGAGTAAGAACAAAGGAGAGAATTGCCCCGCCGTCCTTTTCACCGTCGGTCTACGGGAAGATGTTCTTTTTACTATTTTACCCTTTTCATGTTCTTTATTTTTTATGTAACATTATTTAATGAGACATCAAATATGAAATTTAACAAGTACCAAAAATGCTTTTTCTATTGATTAAAGTACCATTTGGTTGATATTTGATTAAAGTTAAAGAAATGTATTTGAAGTTGAAATTGAAAAAAGTATTTAAATCATTGGCATTAGAATTACAATTAACAAAAGAATTTTCAAGTTCAGCCAAGCTATTAAGAACATTAGTAGATACAAGCATATAACTAGTTGAGCCGAATTTGTCTTCAGACATTGCGTTGTTGCTTGCCTGCATGGATCCTTTAGTAGCCAAAAAGTGAGCAACCTTGTTTCCTCTCCTAAAGTTATATCAGATCGGTGAATTTCCCAATTTCTTCAGTAGTGTCCTGCACTTAATAATCAAATTACTATAAAGTGAACAACCGTTAAGTTCAAGTAGGCGAATGACATCTGTAGCGTCGGTTTCAATCTCCAAAACTATGAAAATTCTTTTCACAAGCTAATTGTAATCCATTTGTAAAGGCCAGCAACTCCATATACGCAGGAGTGTAGGCATAAGCTAAATTGTAAAAGATTTTTTTTAAACATATATACCCTATGGTGTCTCAATAAATTATGTCAGTAAGATGTAATCAGAAAGAAAAGTTAATGAATAGTTTTCAAATTAAGAAATACCCTATCATTACTTTTTTTTTAAAAAAATTAAAAATGAGAGTCACGTGAAATGAATAAACGTTGTCAAGAAAAGAAGAATGGTAGTTATAGTTAGAAATTCAAATTTGCATATAATGTCTCAAACTAGTGAGTTAATGCTTAATTCTTAATTGAGCATACTTCAATATTAAATATTCTGGATCATTTTCGGATCATTATTTTGGATCATTATTTGTGATATGAGTCATGAGAATATGACTTGCTACTATGAATACGTCATGTACAAGTTTTCTAAGTCAATTAAACAAGGTTTTGTATGTTTTGACAAAGTATACTAATATTGACAAAGTATACTTCAATATTAAACAAGGTTTTCTAACTTTAATGATCAAATTAAAGTAAATATGATCAATGTCATTATTAATTAATATTTTTATTATAATTTTTTTTATTAATCATTAACTTTTATGGAAATTAAATACTATAGAGCATGAAGAAAATTTATCTACAAATTCATAAATGACAGCAGTATTCGTTTTTTTTTTGGTGACAGCTAAACTCTTTAATTATTTTCTTTTCATTTCAAAATTTTGACCATCTAGAAGTTAAATTAAAACATAATATAAGATGCTTTTATAAAATTAGCACATTTGTATTTACAATTCTATACATATGACTTTTAGCTTATTTAATGCGTAATATTTACTTCAATGTGTATATTATTTTTTCGATCTACTGTAATTGAATTTTTATTTTCACGTGCGTTTAGAACAATAACTTTTAATACTTTATGCACGCGGACCCTCTATTTTTTAGATGAAGATAAACTCTCTCATTTCTACAATTTTTTAAAAATAAATATTTCTGCGAAATGTATAAAAATTAAATACGAAGAACAATTTGTCAATTAAATAGAATTTTGCTACTGCTCCATAATGACTAATGATATATGACAAAAAACCCAAAATCTATAAAAATATGGTATGCTGAATCCACTAGATAAGAAGTGTCCAAAATTTCCATTTGACTTTTTCTCTTAATTTATCACTATTAATATCTTATTAGTAATTGTTATTAGTACATTATTAACTTCTTTAACAAAGGCACAAAGCAAAAGACAAGCGTAACCAATACAAAGGGGGAGGTCATAATGGTCACTTTGACCGAAATAAAAGTAATTACATTAGTCATACTTTGCAAAAAGGCCCCACAAAAACTGGACCCCACATCTAAGATTATTGTATTTGTATCTTTGAATTGAAATGGTCATAACAAATTACAAGTACAAATTAGTTGTAGTACTAATTTTCAAAGAAATTTAAGAAAATATCGGTAAAATTTGTGGTGGGATGAATAAGATTTTTCCATCTTTAATTAGAGATCTTAAATTCGAGCTTTGAGAATAAAAAAATTATGGCAAAGAATATTTTATTTTAATAATTTATAAACAACGAGAATCCGAATTAGATGATGTTCTAATATATATTGAATATCGCGTGAAAATAAAAAAAAATTAAGAAAATAAATGTAGTATGCTTAAGGAGAATGTTGGAGAATTAGAAAAGACATAGTCAACTGATTTGTTTAAAATCAACGCATTTAAGTCGATTAAATTGCCACGTGGGAGGTCACCGTTGGCTTGATCTAATCTTGTGGGAAAATTTTCAACAATTATAGTCTATTTGCAACTTCCAAAAGGCATCTCCCCCATTCACACCGCTGAAAAATAATTGATTGAGACTACCACAAATCTTTATTTTTTAAACAGAAAAGGGTCAAAATTGCTCTTAACCTAGTTGCATAGTTTTAAAATATCTTTTGCCCGCCTATTTTGTAAAAACTGTCCCTAACATTAACTTTCTAGTTCACTCTTACCCTGAAAATCTAACGGTAATATTTTGATTAAGAAAAAGTTTTACTACTTATTATGTGTCAACTTTCTAACCTATTTGCTTAGGTTTAAAAATATCCTTCGTCCGTCTGTTTTGTAAAAACTGCCCATAACATCAACTTTCTAGTCCACTCTTACCCTTAAAAACTAATGGTCCTATTTTGATTAAGAAAAAGTTTTACTACTTATTATGTGTTAATTTTCTATTGGCTTAAATTAAAACCTCGCCCCATACTCACTTATTAGTCTATTCCATGATCCAAAATATCCATACCCGACCCATGACATATTTTTTTTAAATGCCCTAACTTCTCCTCCTCCCTACATGCCCTCTTACCCACATTTTCTATATAAATCCTCTTCCATGGCCAAAGTACAATAACTTACCATTACCGACAGAGGACCACCATCGGCTTCAACTTTCAGATTTTCACCCCTCAATATGCACGTACCCCCTCCCTCTCCACCACTCATATTTTTCGGCCTTAATTTAATTTTAGTTAATATTTTTTTGTTAATTCAATTTTCTGAGTGAAATATGATATTCTTTGAAATTAAATTAATAGTTCATTTTAAGATTTTAACATTTTATGGTTTAATAATTTATCTTTCTGGCAAATTATATTTGTTGTGCCACCATATAGTTTTTTGGAGTTAATTAAAATTATGTGAGCAAATTAGCTTTACAGTTCGTCAGCGATGATTTGGTTGGTAAACTGTCGGCCTATGATTAAGTTGGGGAAGATGAATAGGGAAAAGGATGGGGTACCAAATAATAAATTAATAAAAAGAAAAATATGAAATTTTGACAAATGAAACCTAAATGACAATTGGATCGTGCGTTGGGCATGAAATCGGGTGTTTGAGGGGTTGGAACGACTAAGATGGATCGTGAGTGGGTCATTTACGGATCAAATATGGCTTAGAGTGGAATTTTTAATTTTGACCAATAAGCAATTGCCACATCATATATAATAATATTTTTTTATTTTAACAAAGGTCCGTCAGGAATAAGGGCATGAATGTGCCAGATTTTTAACGAAGAGGGCAGTTTTTATAAAATAGGTGGACGAATTATAATTTTAAACCTAATCAAATAGGTTAGGGGCAGTTTTGGTCCTTTCCATTTTTTTAATGTAAAGATAAGAAATTTGCATGCTCCGAATGGGTATTGTATATTTTTGGTGTGTACATTATATCCTTCTGAATCAACTCATTTGATAGGTGACTCAATTTTGTGACTTGTTCGTTGATATTTTCTTTTTGAAAATTCAGTTAACATTGATTATTTCTTAGCATGCATTTATAAATTTAGATGAATTAATTTATGAAGTAAACCTTTCGGCTGTAACACTACCTAACTACACTATCTAAACTAGAAAATAAAATAGTGTATAAGTCAAAGAAATTTATTGTTAGAATAAAAAAGAGATCATGCCCTACACTTGCCACAAAAGAGGAGTCTTGTAAAATAGTCTTGAGTTGAAAAGTACCAAAGCACATAGCCACATTTCTAGGAGTGCAATAGTGTTATTAATTCAAACAATAGCCACATTTCTAAGAATGTCGTACTCAAAACTCAACTTCATTCATAAAAACAAATACTAGCAGGGCCTCAGACACAATTTTCATTAAGGGAATTAAAAAATACAAAAAATAAGCACGCAAAGAAATTAAGAAGATTCAACATTTAATATATATATATATATGTGTGTGTGTGTGTGTGTGTGTGTGTGTGTGCGCGCGTGTGTGTGTATATGTATAAACTTAACTTTACATACACAATATAATTTTCCATTCGAACTTGTTTTTGCCCCTAGCTCTGCCCCTCAATACTAGGTATGACTTTTGAGAAGCCTGTCTGCATTCTAAAAAGTAACGCCCTGGAGACAATATTGGTGTGTACTTGCAAAATGATGAAATATTGATCAATGAATATAGACAATTAAGAAATGAAGATTGATAAAAAACAAAGCAAAGTAAAACTTGAGACGATGAATTTGACCATAATGCTTAATACTTTCTTAAACAAATAAAACAAATGACTTTTTTTACTAAGACATCAGCACAAATTATACATTTGACGCTCTTAAGATGAGGTTGATTTTAATGCAATAGGAATATAGTATGTCCAAATTTAAGAGTACTCATCGTCTGCCAAACGAAGCAACGAACTCGAACTGAAATGTAGCAAATTAATTATAATTGAGTTAAGCAGTATTTGCAAACAGTAGCATAAGTGCAGGGCTAATTATGAGTTGTGATTTGTGAGTTTGGGTTTGTAGAAATGACTTTAATTTGTGTCCTATGTTTACTTTACACTATTAATGAACTTAGTGAAATGTTCAAAATCACATAAAATTACACCTCTCA